ATATCTTAGTTTGAGTCTGGGACAATACTTGAAACAGCTTAACTTAGTTTGCGTCTGGAACAATACTTGAAATATCTTACCCTAGTTTGAGTCTGGAACAACACTTGAAATATCTTAACTTAGTTTGAGTCTGGAACCACACTTGAAATATCTTAACTTGGTTTGAGTCTTGAAGAATACTTGAAACATCTTAACTTAGTTTGAGTCTTAGAGAATACTTGAAATATCATAAATTTACTTAGTTTGATTTTTGAACAATAATTTATATATCTTAGTTTGAGTCTTGAACAATACTTGAATTATTATAACTTAGTTTGAGTCTGGAACAATACTTGAAATATCTTTACTTAGTTTGAGTCTTGAAGATTAGTTGAAATATCATAGCTTAGTTTGAGTCTGGAACAATAATTGAAATATCATAACTTAGTTTGAGTCTGGAACAATACTTGAAATATCTTTACTTAGTTTGAGTCTTGAAGAATAGTTGAAATATCATAACTTAGTTTGAGTCTGGAACAATACTTGAAACATCTTAACTTAGTTTGAGTCTTGAAGAATACTTGAAATATCATAACTTTACTCAGTTTGATTTTGGAACAATAATTTAAATAACTTAGTTTGAGTCTGGCAATATCTTTATTTTTATTGGAAAGTTTAGTTTTAAATATTTTTGTTAACAGTCTAATTTGAATTATTCTTTTATTGGAAAGTTTAGTTTTAAATATTTTTGTTAACAGTCTAATTTGAATTATAGTGAGTTATATATAAGATATCAAAGCATTGGCCGAAAACAAATATTTTTTTTACATAATTTGGTTTCATTGATTACTTGAGATGTATTTTATCAACAGTATTTTTTTTTTAAACTGATTAACTATAATGCATGCGCAGTGGTCCCCCTTTACAGTGGAATATTCCAAGCGCTCCGATGAAAGGTTGAACACCACCAATTTATTCATTTTGTTTACGGTACAAAATACCTACATTTACTAATGAAGTGCAAGAAAGATCTGGTTTACATGTACACTAAACATGTTATGCTAAAATCATAATTCATAAGAGCTCTCCACGCCATAGGTAGCACCTAACTTCATATTAAATATTGTATCATGCAACAGTTTTGTCTTTTATGCAGTTGATTGATATCATTGATTTTGTAAACAATTATAAGTATTTTTGTATGCAAATTATTTGGAAAAACGATGAAATAGTACTAGAATTAAAAAGGATTTTTCTGAACGTGTGAAGTTGTCTTTCCCCAATCTTTATATCTAATATTTGTCAGATAGAGTAACCTCCCCCAAAAAATACAATTGTGTTAGGGGCCGGAAAACACACTTATCCTTCATTATTAAGTCTATCTGATAGTCTAACCCCCACTGGAAAAATTTCAAATGGAGTGAGAAAGCAAAGGGAAATCACTTCAACCTTTCATTATTAGTCAGAGTAACCTCCCCTGAAGAAAACAAAGGGAAATCACTCTAACCTTTCATTAATAAGCCAGATAGAGTAACCTCCCCAGGAAAAAACAAAGGGAAATCACTCTAACCTTAATTATTAATCCAAATAGGGTAACCACCCCTGAAGACAACAAAGGGAAATTACTCTTACCATTCATTAATAAGCCAGATAGAGTCACCTCCCCTGAAGACAAAGGGGAAATCACTCTTACCTTTCATTAATTAAGCAGAAAGAGTAACCACCCCTGAAGACAACAAAGGGAAATCACTCTTACCTTTCATTAATAAGCCAGATAGAGTTACCGCCCCTGAAGAAAACAAAGGGAAATGACTCTAACCTTAAATTATTAATCAAAATAGGGTAACCTCCCCTGAAGATAACAAAGGGAAACCACTCTTACCTTTCATTAATTAGCCAGATAGAGTGACCTCCCCTGATGACAACAAAGGGAAATCACTCTTACCTTAAATTATTAATCCAGATAGAGTAACCTCCCCTGAAAGAAACAAAGAGAAATCACTCTAACCTCATCATTAAGCCAGATAGAGTAACCTCCCCTGAAGACAACAAAGGGAAGCCACTCTTACCTTTCATTAATAAGCCAGATAGAGTAACCTCCCCTGAAGACAACAAAGGGAAATCACTCTTACCTTTCATTATTAAGCCAGATAGAGTAACCTCCCCTGAAGACAACAAAGGGAAATCACTCTAACCTTTCATCATTAAGCCAGATAGAGTAACCTCCCCTGAAGACAACAAAGGGAAATCACTCTAACCTTTCATCATTAAGCCAGATAGAGTAACCTCCCCTGAAGACAACAAAGGGAAATCACTCTAACCTTAAATTATTAAGTTAGATAGAGTAACCTCCCCTGAAGACAACAGGGGAAACCACTCTTACCTTTCATTAATAAGCCAGATAGAGTAACCTCCCCTGAAGACAACAAAGGGAAATCACTCTAACCTTAAATTATTAAGTTAGATATAGTAACCTCCCCTGAAGACAACAAAGGGAAACCACTCTTACCTTTCATTAATAAGCCAGGTAGAGTAACCTCCACTGAAGACAACAAAGGGAAATCACTTTAACCTTAAATTATTAAGTTAGATAGAGTAACCTCCCCTAAAGAAAACAAAGTAAGGAAAACGGAAGTGCAACTCGAACATCTATTTGCATAAATAATCATATTATTTTAATTAAACTAAAGAAACACGTTTCTCTGATGTCAAAGTAAGAAAAGTATTGTACTCTATTGAAAAAATGAGTTATGTCAAGTAAACCCTCATAACAAACAATAATTGTATCAGGACAAACGCACTGCGTTGCAAGTCGACAGCCGTCTGCGTTGTAAACTATTTTTGTCAATTCTTCTATAAAAAAAAGGCAATAACAATTTTCAAAAGTTCCAAAATATGGTTGTTTTGTGCATTTATCATACAAACCATGTAATATTGGCGTATTTAGTGGTCGTTTTGCACACATGTGTACGTAATTTAACCAAAATTAGGCAAAAGTGGCGTCCCCTCGTCAAACTGTACGGAAATGATTGCACAAATGGCAATGAATTGCACCGTGTGCGTGTAATTAAGTTGGAAAAGTACATATGTAGGCTCCAGTCTCACTAGGTACTTCCAGTAAAGCTTTAAAGCATAAAGCAAAATTCAGTCATAAAGCAAACGGCCATATTTTATCCATCGCTTCTGCGACGAAATTTCCACCGCGGCTTCGATGGACCCACCGCTTCTGCGAAAGCTATGGCCAGTGTGATTATTATGTTCTTGGTTTACAATTGTAAAAATCATTTTACTATTCATCGTAACAGTCTTATCGTGATTTTTTACAATCAAAATTGGTGATGCGTGTTTTTTTTTAAATAATGACAATTTTGTTCTTAATTGTGTTATTCTTTTATTGTCTCGTATGTATGATACATTATCATGCAGCAAAATATTATAATAATATAAGACATAATAAAGTTCATTTCATGGGCGATTTTCCAGCATGGAAAGAATGGAAGTTTACACAGGCAGTGGATCAGCCGCAATTAACAACATGTGAAACACTTATTGGCCTACTTCGTAAACGAGTAAAGAGCTGCTCATTTAAAGACAATACGCTTGCGACGTCGTTAACGTCAAATTTTAAAGTTATACCGTGCACCGGGTCGCATTTTCAGTTGTTAATGTTTCTTGTTGGTATTTTTCGTTTCATATAGGGGATATATTCCGATTTATGTTCCGTGTACTTTTATGTATTTGCATTTTACATGATATCCTCACATAGGTTTATATCGTGGTTAAATTATTAGGCATATGAAAAACCATTATTATACGATTGCATGTCCTGAAGATTTTACATATACATACACATTTATAAGGAGTATTAAGCATATGCACTATTTACAAGTGACATTCACAGGTACGCTGATCATTTCCACTACGCTATAGTCTAGTTTAATCAGGATGATAACGCTTCATCAGAAATTCGTGCTTACTTTATAGGCGGGGCTTAGTATGCTAAGTGTTCTATCCCATGATTCAAATTATCGAATAAATATTTTTCAGTAATATTTTAATTATACAATATATATTTTCAAATATAGAACATACATATAGAAAATTATCGCACATAAATATTTTTTATGATGAATAAATATTCCGCGGGATTGAATAAATGTGGTATAGAATATAAAATTAGAGTTATACAATATAAATATTGGATATAGAAACTTTTTTAATTTATTGAATATTACAACGTTTAACATGCCATATACCACTTTGCACATTCAAGACATTGTGAGTTACTTACCTTAAGTCTAATCCAGCGTTACTTGAGGTTTCGTGAGAGTGAGATTATATAAGTATCGTTTCTCCTATTGCCTCAAAACATTCGCGGCAAAGGGAGATAACCGTGAAGAGACGGAATCACTGTATAATTTACTGCAAGCCACAATGTGATTACATGCATTGTGTCATATTTTGAAAGGTTATTTAATTAATTCAACGTGTGTCTTTTTTTCTTGTTTTTTTTATGGACCACAGGAAGTAGATGTGTTTCAATACATTGGTGAGTTGCTTATGTATACTAAATCGTTCGCTTAAAAAGCTCTATCTTATGAAAAACAATCATTATATTTATCAACAGCAAAATTATATTGATTACATGATCTTATGGTCGATTATACGCGACACAGGATCAAAATAATTATTTTGATGCTATTTTAAGTAGAATTTTAACCATTTAGCAACCATTTCGTGTATTCGTCATTCGCCTTTAAGGGAATAAAATTATATTATCTTACTTCAAGCATTTTAATTTGGAAATATACCTTTTTTAAAAAATTCAAAAACATTTTTGCAGAAGATATATAGCTTTATAAACTTTCAGTGTTTGGTGTTAACAACTAATCAACATTTAACTAAGTTCAATTATTTAAACCACGTAACTGTCAGTAAACTTGTTTTTGTTTTTTGTTTTGGTTTTTTGGCTTTTTTTTGACAATTTTGTCAAGGATACCGAACAAATGAAATAACAACAACATTTCAGACGACATTTTAATGATAAAACAAGATATAACATGGTATATAACAAGTATCCGGTATAAAACAGGATGTTTATACGGAATGTTTGATTACTACCCCTGAAGAAAGTAACCAAAAAGAAAATAAAATGCTACCCGTTCCAAAATGTGACTACAATGGACCCAAATCAAGATAATGACGTCATCAGAAGCCCCTATCGAAGGTGTCAAATACTCGTATAGAAGGAAGATAAAAGATATAGGGGAATTAACATCTATATTACGTCTGACCTATGACCTCTGACCTCTGAAAAGTGGTCATTTTACGCCCGACTCACAAGCCTGAAGCGCCCATTTACGGTTCTTGCCAAATAACACAGTTCGAGGCGATACACGCACACCGAAAAAAAAGAGTCCTAATTTCTATATATGGTCATGTTGCCATTTTTAAGTAAACTTTGCTTTAAAGTGACATCAGTAGATATACATAGATGAATATTCATTAAATCAGGTAAAGTTCATTGGTCAATCTTTAAAACGTGACAAGCGTATTAAAATACTTATAAAATTGATACCTCTATTAAACACATCATTATCTGATTTGAGTCCAAAAGGCCTGATTGCTATGAATTCAGTCAAACAAAGTTCTTGAATGTAAAAGAAAAGCAAACTATCATAAATCTAGTTATTTCCAAGAGAATCCTTTTATATTTTGACCCTTGACACGATTATAAAGGTCATAAGCTTATGTATATATAAAGAAGCGATCATTATTTGAAAATGGCCTTTATGCAGGGTTTTTCAAATATTTCTACCTGTATTTGAAAGACCCTGCTTTACAAGTATCTTTTAACATTTAATGAAATAATTTCATTTTAATTGATCTGCAGGTCAGCATGCATGTCACCGGCCTTGACCTTTAAGGATATGATAACTAACAAGCATTCCTTCTGTTTAGACACTAGTTAAAGCATAAGTTGATTGTCATTTAAAGGCAGTGTTATTATACGCCTTGTATAGTCCAGAAGTCCAATCCTTTCAAATAACTGTAAGGGGAGGTAACTACAGTCACCTCTGGGGACATCTTGAGATTCTATTACCATTAAATATTACAATAATCGCCGCAAATATATTGTATGTATTACCCTGTCTCGATCATATATACACATTTATGCATGTATTTAAAACATTATCTCTTTATGTATGATAAATTACAGTGATTGCTTCTTGCTGAAATTGTTTATGTAAAGCAAGATTTCCTACTCCTGAACGCCTACTATGTCATCAGTTGTCTCCCTTGTTGTCCGACGCTCCGAGTTCGATTATCGCGCAACGTTCCGAAGAACATGTTCTGGGTGTTCTAATCAAATATAGGTGCAGCGCACCTGCTTAGTGGTACAATATCAATAGTTGCCAACTTGTTGTCTTTGCCACGATATTATGTTGTCATCTGGATTCTGGTAACACTTAAGTGAATTGTCAGGAGCCAGTACTTGGTTATATCTGAAATATATGCATGGAAATGAATAAGTATTGTCCATATGAAAGCTTACAAGAATAAAGCTTCTGATAAAGAGAGTTTCAACATTGAAAATATATGATTGCAGATTTAAAGATAGTATAATATTGCAGTTTTAATAATAGTATAATATTGTAGTTTTAACAATAGTAGAACATTGATGTTTTGATAATAGTATAAGATTGTAGTTTCAAAAATACTATAATATTGCAGTTTTAATAATAGTATAAGTTGAAAATCACAGGAGTCAGTGATGTAGTACCTGGTCCAATCGCCTTTACATATAATCCATGGTAATAAATCTACTTTATGATGGAGTTCCTTTGAGATTTCTGGACTGATGAGTACAGGTGTCCCCGCTGCTTGCCCACGAGTAACAAGAGAATACAGGCTGTCATAACAACATTGTTGCACTGCTAGAGTTGTTGCCCCTGGTACAAGTGACGACCGCATACACGCAAAAGCACCCGGCTTGTAAACTAAATCACCATGGCTGCTTGCGTCAATCCATTTCACATTTTTGTCTAATTCAACGTCAAAAATATCTTTACTTTTTACCCGTATTAGAGGAAAATAACATGGACACGCCGGTAAAGATGAATTCTTGATAAAATCTTGAGCAAACTTTTTGTTACACTTCACCCATTTACCGCAAACATCCTTATCTGTGAATGAAAATGCAAGTAAATATGCTTAAAATGTGACTGATAAAATTTTATTACTTCATTTACGCTGTATTTATTCATTTAAACACTACCATTTACTGTTAATATTCAGTCAGTTTAAAACAATTTATGTCTCTACGAAAAAGTGATTTACAGTTATAATAATAATTATTGTGTTCAATTAAAGAAATCTTTTTTAAGGAAAGGAAAATGTCGAACAAAACTTACTTGAATCTAAATAATCCTGTTCGGGTAAAGTCATTGGCGGAACGAATCCCTCTTTTTCCCATTTATAAAATTCACTAATTGTGCTGGAACTTTCCTCCTGTGATGAACCTGCAACAAGAGGAAAAATACACGCCAATTAACAAAGTTAAGTGAAATTCGCTGCTTCATGTTTAAGGAAAATAATTGGATAGTTTGGCTGGGAAATTATGACTTTGTCTTAAACTAAAATGATTAACTTAGACATTAATTTTAAAAAATACTCATAAATTTTGTTGCTCAAGTCAGGGTCTTTCAAACAGATTTTTTTTCAATTACTGCTTAATTTTAAATAAAAAAGACTGCATAGAACACAGATTTTGCAATATGTACTATTGTTTCATGAATGTGACGCTATGTAAATTTATAATCCGTTCAATAAGAAAACGCTTTTCTCCGCTTTCGACATTTTGTCTTCTTTTTTAAAATTACGTTTATAAAATAACAAATGACACAACGTCCGTTTACGCTACGTAAATGTAATACGATCGCAAATTTTGTTCTAACGTACACATGAACAAAGATATCAAACTCCGTGCACTGGTTACGCTACGGCCAGTCCTGAAAGGGGAGATCACTGCGTGGGAGATGGCAAAGATTCTTTTCGCAGTATGTAAATAACAATTATAGGGGAGCGGTTGCCTAGTGGTTAAGGTGTCTGCCTCTCAACCCAGGGATTATGGGTTCGAGCCCTATTCGGGTCACGATAATGTTTTTTCATATGACACCAGTCCTGGTTAGTTCCAGGAAGCCAACTCCAAAGTGATTAATATAAGTTGCAGGAACTTGATTAGCAATCGAGCTTACCAATAATTATAGAAAAGCAAAGAACTAAAAAAAACATTTATGTCTTACTACGGCTGTTTAAAAAACTGAAATTAGAATTGGCGTCACTTTGATGCTATCAGTACGGGATCATAACAAGTTCACTTTATGTTTCAAAAAATCCCCTCGCTAATTTAACAAGTCAAGATATATGGGTGCTTACTACATAATGTTTAAATGTAAAACACTTCTATAAAATCGTATATTAAGATAATTAGAGAGGGTAATAACTCATACATGAGGAGGAATACTTGAGATATACTTTATAGAAGTAAATGAAGTTTCTTTTAATAATCAGGTTAATATTTAATTGATTTGTTTATATTCTATTAAAACACTTATGTACCCAACACACACATGTGTCGTGCGCTTTTTAATCAAATGACTAAGTATTTGATTCTGTAAATAGTTCTAGAGAAATGTATTATAAGACTATACATGTATGTTAAAATGTTGTAAATACATGTTCTAGAAATGCATGTATATACAAAACAAAATACTTGGTTTCGTGTTTAGCTATTACTGACAGGCCATTTTATTTATTTATTTATTTAAATAAAATCTATGTATTTATTGATATTTTATTTATTTATTTATTTATTTATTAAAATAAAAAATGTTTGAAGATCAAACATTAATTTGCCGCAGTATAGAGCTTGGTCAGACTGCAAGGATCGATCGACCTTACTCCATATTGTTGGCAAAAACTGACCACTTTCGATTAACTTTACATTATGCCAATTTTATATTTGTCAAATTGAGCTGAAGATAGATATTGTAAAGTGTTTAGGACAAAATATAAATCTGCCTAAAATATAAACAAGACTGTCCCGCTCTTTTTATAAATTGAACGTACCCACGTTAACTACGATGAATATTTACAGAAACTTCCTTCGAAATAACTTTGAAAAGAATTATGAAAGGAATTATCTGTTCATCTGTTCACTCTCTATATATACGCTTGGGTGGGTAAAATGTCCCTAGGTTGGATTAAGTATTTCCAGAATTGAAACTACTTCATTATGACGTTAATGATGTTACTGATTCACGATGACGTCGCGTTTCTGGAACAATCATCATCTTGTATCTATATCAGAAATGTAACAATTATCACCCTATATCTATATCAGTACCCACTAATTCACGGCATGTCAAAACAAACTGTTTGCTAGAAAAATTGTTGAAAATAAACAAAGAGAAAAGAAGACGTAAAATAATCCTCAAAACTTCAAACAAAAATCAGGCGAAGGTAATCAGAACTGATAATCTTTGATTTGATAGTAAATGATACACTAAGGCAGGTGATGGAAACCATTCCGAGAAATTTATCAATTTTGTAGTCCTCTTTATAAGTTTATTATTGACAATTAAATCTAAATTGGAATTTGTACGGATAAACTTTTCTCTGATATCGAAATGAAATGAATAAAAACTAAACCATATCTTCATTTATTTCTTTACATGAGGTCGGTCAAATGATGTTCGGAAATTCCATTTTTTATTCTGTACCGGGTAAGCAGTTTTTATGATATCAGAAAAAAAGATGATTAGTAATTTGTTTCAAGAAAGATTATCTTAAAATATCTTCCCCCTTTAAACTAGTAACGGGAAGTTCAAACATATTTATGAAAGTAATTTAAAGGCGCGCCCGTCTGTATGCATGAAGTTTTAATTTTCATAAATGGCTTATATTTCGAGTTACTAAAATAAACGGAATATACTCAAAACTTTAAAAGCGTCTTTATACATGCTATAAAGATTTATATTGTAGAAATGCGCGAAATTGTGTTTTTTTACGCATAATTCAATATTTTTTAAGATCTGTTCATTCCTGCGCTTCAGATTTCGAAACAGTCCTTCATATTTTTTCTTATTCTTACATTCAATCAAATACAACGTTCTGATCAAATATCTACTTAATTTTGATATGGTAATAACCTTGTTTACACTATACATGTATATAACAAACAATTAAACAATTCTTAACATTTTTCTTGTCATTTGTAAACCTATCCAGCTATCTATTTTGTTCTACGTTTTTTATTGTATCCCAAAAACCGAATTCCGGAAATAGATTCCATTTAGCGTACCGCACTTTGATAACTTGTCATAATTTACTCAAATGTTCCTCTCAGAAACCACCTGCTCCTGTAAGTGTTTGAACACAGACCCCTGCCGCTAGAAATAATAGTTCGGGAACAAATATTCCCGCGTTTTTATTGTAATAAGGTGATTATCGAGCTCCAAAAGTGAATTCTTCTCCCAGAAATATGCATGGAATTGCGCGGAAAAGGAAACATGTTTTCTAAATCACGTAGCACGATTTCCACGTGCTTAAATATAGTTCGGACTGCTGTTTCAGATATGCAGGTGCTATTCGGAAAAACAACAACATTGTTCAGGTTTAAAAAAAAAACAACAATAAAATATATTGACTTCTGTTTCGTAAAGTTCAGAGTTTTCGCCTATTTTTCAAAAATCTTTGTATGTAAAACAGCAAGAATATTTGGAATAAAAAAACAACTGGAAATAAGGGATAAGCAGGATGCCAGCATACTTATAAAATAAATTAATTGATGCTAGAATTTACTTACTGAATTTGTGAACATAACTTATAATTGAACAAATTAAGAGAAACATGTTTGCGCAAAATTTATACAAAACGGTTGAAAATCCTGAGCCAACAGTTTTTTTCTTCCCCATATAACGTCTGTTATAATAGAGATAGACAGTACGTCATTATTGAAGGATAATATTCAAACAATGGCGAACTTAGATCAAAATGTCGCTTATGTTATTGAGTGCAATCCTATAAAAAAAAAACGAGACTAGATCCAGAAATTATCTCATACATCATGTTTCTTGTTTGAAACATGTCCAAATCCCCTCAATCACTACTCAAAACAGTTTATACTCTCCGTCGTCTAATCTCGGCTCAATCTGTCAAAATTGTTTCCTAACCTTCTATTTATTGCCTGTATTGTAACAATTACACCCACAAATCGGCTTTGTTCTCCTTAATTTGTTTATAAACAAAGAGGCTATTATCTTACTGGATAGCACATGTCCGAGATACCTTCATCATGTCTGCTTCAGTAATGCGTTTTTGTATATTATTAAGGCAGTACAATAAACAAAATTCAACAACCATCGACATTATTTCGTTACGTGCAGTACGGAAATTAACATGAAAATCAAAGTGCTGAAGGTACTAAAAGTGATTTGCTAATGCATTCATTATTAAAGTCACTTTTAAGTTCTCACTCTTATAGAGGAAATTAGGTCGCGTGAAATTGTTACACTCAGCCTTTCCCTTATAAAGTGAATATGGCACGCTACACTATATTGTACTGATCAGGGGTGATAACTGCATTGTAGTGTTAAAACTATAATTATGTGCTCGGAACGAATATTGCACTATTTTTTCAGAAATGCGCAAAACTGAAGTTTTTGTATTTTTGCTGTTTATTTTGTTTTGTTTTAAAATGCTAAAAATGATGGTTTTTTTCTAAAATAGATTACTTTGAAAATTTTTTGGACTTCTTAATATTTTAATCTACACAAATGATATCGGACGAAAGCAATTAATCAATCAATCAGTCGCATGAATTGCATTTATATAACCCAGAATCCAAACAGTTAACATAAATATGTATCACAGCCAATGAAATCTTTTGATTTTTAAGAATGTCTTAAAAGATATATAGATAATTTTACCATAAAATTTCAAAAACAAGCAAAAATTCTACCCATCCTTGTTTAAGAATGGTCTATTGGTCACGAACGGTAACTCTTCTGAATCACTACTGAATACAGCCAATCCCTGAGTCCCTTGCAAGTTTATATAATGCACACATATATGTTTATGACAATACTAAACAGCAATATTTAGATATTTAAAAATGTGTAACAAATTTTATCATCAAAATATTATTACAATATTTTCTTTGGAATATTTACTACGCTACAAAAAACCATAACCCAAATGCACCGGTGTTAACCTACACCACGCTAGGCTGCGCCTATTAAACTTTCCAAAAGCCAAATTCTACCTAGACGTAATTATTCAATTAACATCCGATGAGATATTTTGATTATTTGTTTACAAGAAAAAGCAGTTTACCTTCACAGGGCGGATTTACACACACCATTGATTCGACTTCCGTACATGCGCTGCCACATTTACGCATGCGCTCTTGCTGTCCTGCGCCGCAAGAGGAACTGCAAGGAGACCATGGCGTCCAAGGAGTTGTGCGTCTATTTGAAAATTTATCGTCTGCAAATTATAAATATGACACATTTTTTAAAAGTACGCATAGACAAACATACATGGAAACGAAATAAAAGTGCAAATTATCAAGTACTGTTTGCATGGTTGTACACGTGGATGAAATGCCAAACAAATGGCGGGTGAATTTAAATAACAACTATTTTAACCCGGCATACATTTATTGTGAGGTTATGATAAACTGATATATACATGTATATTATGTTCGCAAGTATAAGTCATCTTGTAACCTAAATTAGTTTTCAGTTTATAACGCGTTATATTCTGAGCGTGAAAACAGACAAAACAGAACTAAAATTAACACAAGCACCGGAATTCGTGTCATCAACTAATATAAACGCAGTGCTATTGCATAAAATATAGTTGTAGCATAACGACCTCATAAAGAGCAATTTCTACTAGGTCAAGCTTTGGCCATTCATTGAATGCCTCTTAAAACATAAAAAAAAAACCTTTCGGTCAGCGCCGGTGACTTTGAGACACGTTCGCTTTACAAATAAAGTTATAACGATATTTTGAAACTTTCCAGTAATTTTAGCATCTTGTCATTGATCAAAAAGACAAAATACTATCAACGCAAATACATAGCTTAAGAAAGCAGGCGTGACAAGAAAATGCAATATTTTGAAATTGTTATTATCATTTTAAATATCAAATGAGAAAATTTCAAAATTACCGTTTTTTTTAAATTTAAGGGTTTGGGTATTTGTATTAATGAATTTTACGCAAAAAATGGTTTAAGAGAAAAACGTTGAATAAAATAAAAACATGAATCTATGCCGTAGACCAAAGTAATCATATTTCGTTTGTTTTATCTTTTATGAAATGAATATCAATCAATCTTAACATAAATTTAGTCTTAAAAACACACACAGAGTCATTCTTGGATAATGATATTTTTTTTTCTGAGCAAAAAAAAAAATCTTTGAAACTGTATTCACGGCCGGCTTCTTGCTTGATATATTTTGGCATTCCTGTGGATTTCACAAAGTAAACTTTGTTTTAGTTTAGAAATACGATATAGGAAGTGGTAGGCACTTGTTGACTGACAGTCAGATGATGAGCAATTTGTTCTTAGTTTGTTGAGTGATTGACATTAATACACGAGTGTTATACGTTCCCGGTCTGGTTTCAAAACTTCTACGTGAGCAGTGATGAATGACTTCCGGTAAGGCGCGTGCGGCGTTTGAACTAGATTATCTTTTGAACCGATTATAAAAAAAGAAGATATAATTATCTTTTACGACATTAAATGATATTATACTTTACGACGTTTAATGATGCGGCAGTGAGTGCAGATTACAGGCACGCGTTTAGTGTGTTTTCAATAGGTATGTATGCACAGTGTATCAAAATGCACGTGTTTCATTTTGCCATCTGCTACAACTACCAGGTCACCAATGTTACGCTTGTTTTACATTTTACGAGTTTATTTACAGACCTGCAGCGGATAATTATATGAACTGAATGTTTTTTGTTATGGAAACCTGTAAACTAGAGTCTGAACATAATCACACAAGTCAAAGAAGCAGCCTAAACATTGCGGATATAGAAACACGATCAAAGAAACAATGTAGTCTCTGAACAACAGGAGAAACAGATATCATGCTACTTTGTACTAAGTATCTGGAATATCTTAAACAAAAAATAATCAAAATGTAAACTACGTCAGTAATCTTCTTATCTGTTTTTATATTGACAGCATAATTGGCTTTCAAAAAATCTTAAGAAATTGATATCTATCTCTTGTATTTGTATATTAACCAGATACTCCATAACAAGCAATACAAAGGTCATGGTAAAGGCAATGAACACCTTAATCTATAAAGTAATCAAAGTTTAACCCTTACCCTACTGAATTTATTTAATGAATTTGTCCTTCTGTAAGTTTGGAATAGTACACATGAAGTTAAGATATTTCAGTATCAAATAAAAAAAGCGATTACTACCAGTATAGAACATGGTCAAACTGCATGGACGTGCAGGCTGGACCTTGCTTCATACTGATGACAATGGCTTATCGCTTTCAATTCCAGCAGGTTAAGGTTAAAAATGTACCTGTTTTATATACAGTGTCCTCCTGACTGATGGTGTCTCCCCCTGAGATACTGACCCAATGTTGATCATAACTCCACCCAGTTTCATCCGGGTCTCTGTCATAATCCTGACGAACTTTGTCTTCCTCATACAGACTTGAAATAGTTCCGGTACCAGTACGTGCACCGGATAATGTTTCGTCTGCTACTTTTTCTAAAACCCGTCTTAATACAGATGGACTTATTTTCCCAGCAGTGAACTTGTGTCGTCGTCCTTTTCTTTTCCTTATTTTACAGTCAGTACAAGTCATTTTTGCATTTCTATTTTTACGCCGCTCTATTGTTAGATTTAGGTAATCTTCTAAACTGCTGTAGACAGTTTTCCTGTGCTTCCTATGTTTCCGTTTCCGGTTCCGGCCTTTCTTTCGGCGTCTTTTCGCCTGCTTCCGGTGTGATGGCATCACAATATTCGGTTGATATGGCGGGTCAGTAAGATTGTCGTCTGATGATGAATGAAATGGAATAGACCGGCTATTACCAGTATAACTGCTGGAATTCTCTGTCTGAAATATTTTGAGAAAAGTTTGAGACATGATACAAATATTTCCTCTTTTTTCTTTTTGTTTCGAGACGTAAAATAAGGAAGCTGTTGCTATTAACTTGGCTTACATGAATTTGAGTTATCAATTCATACTTATTGCATGTTTCCATATTATAAGGAATAAAGGTTAATATTCAGACGTTACCTTTGCAAGCATATTTACGTTTTTTTATATAGCCAACATTTTAAATATTTAGCTTATTTTCTCTTGTATAAAATCAAGTTTTTAAATATGGTGTGTAATTATTAAATATATTGTTCAATACATATATTCTTCCAGTCTCCTATTAGAAATTTAAGGTTTTAAGTATATTTGTAGTAATTTACATTCTCAGATGGTTTTTTATCCTCTTCCATGGACATTTCCACTTCAAATAGTTTATATAGCAATTCAGTTTAAAACATAGTAAAGTAAATAGATATATAATGTCAATGTTGTTGTGTGGCATTGACTTAACGCGAACTGACGCAGGTATCCAAGATAGCTGACGAAAAAGATATGACAAGGTCAAGATGGTGGACGGAAAGGCATTGCAAAATATGAAACCGTTTGACTTCTTTTTTCGTTTTTGTCCTTCAAGACATATCTATATAATCATTTGTTACATGACTGTATTGATTTAAACAAAATAAAATAGCTTTTATTGTATTCATTTTTGTTTTGTTTACTTTTTAACTAGAAACTTGGTTTTGATTTGATTTAGATCCAAATAGGTTGTTAAATTTTTTCCCAAGAGTCGAATTGAAAACTGCATTTTTGCTTATTACAAACTTTTTAACTATTTTTAGTGCATTATCTTTATAAATTTTGTTTAAACAAGAATAAAAAGTAAGTTCTTTCGCAAAGAAGTAACTATTGTACAATAAAGATGCTAATTGGTAAAATAAGTGCGGCAAGTATTTTCGATTAGAAGCATAAAAAGTTTCATATCAAGCAATACTTTAACTTTTAGCCTGCTAAAGGCAACTGGACATATTGTGGTCTGATCATGGTCTGCACAGTTTGTTATTCAGTCAGAACTTATTTTTAAATTTTCGCGAAATTATTTAATGCTTTTGTCAGAGATATAGATAACATCTCTGTTTTTGTCCAGGTAATAAAGCGTCGTAAAGTTTAGTTGATAGCGAATAATTTAAAACAACAACAACTGTTCAAGGAATTTGAATTTCTACAACGCAGCAGTGGTAAACACATTTCACAACGAAAAAAGTAAAATAAAGAAAACAAGCTAGTTAAAAAGTTTAGGATTTTGACTCTGCAATATGATGTAATTGGGATTGATGTATTATAAAGAAATTACTGAAAAGCGTAAGCGGGCGGCAAATGTGGCGTCATTTGTAAAAAGTGTAATGAAAGCACAGCGGGAAGTGGGAAAACCATTCGGCGCGATATTTGCAGCAGAATTCAATTCATTTCACTTATGTTGTTCAATTTCTGACGTACGCATACGAAAAATGTTGCAACATAATTTTATATTTCCGAACTGTTTACATTACTCTTTCATTAGCATAACTGTCGTATTTTGGACTAAATCCATCTCTAGTGTATATTCTCCAAAGGTTCACTTACGTCAATAAATCGAAGATGTTCCCCCCAGCTAGTTAACCAACTTAACCCTTGTGTTAAAGACTCATTATAAAAGATTACTTTAGGACCACTATAAATACTTGAGGATTACGATCTACTTTGCGATCTCTACAGATAGTTAGGTCGTCTCCGCATGCGGTTTACTTACAGTAAAAGCTTTTTTACTATTTCACGATGACATTCCAAAGAGAGTGAGAGAGAGTGCGGGAAAAATCACTAATGTTCTTTATTGTTATACCACCTGAAATGAAATCTGCGAGGGGATCAGACGAGAATTTATTTTCCTGGCTTGACGTCAGATTTTCTGGATTGACCAATGCTGAGTTAATTTCGTAAATAATACAACAGGAAGAGACAAGAGAAAAGCCTAATACATGTGTAACGAGAATATGTACGGAAGACTGGCCCCAATATCATTTGAGATTCCTCTGCTTTTATCCAAACTTTACCAAATATGCTGTGAAATGCTATTAAAATGTGACGATATTTCTACGAGCAGAAATTTACATTCACTTTAGAACTGTTTTTAATTGTCATGGTGGGAGGTTTTGACGTTATATAGAAACAAATTGTCAACTTCGTCGCCATCACTTCCGGAAACGTTCAAAATTATAAAATATATATTTCATAATGTTCAGATATATAAAATTTATATCATATAAAGTATATAAACGGAAACAATAATTGTGATGATAGAAAAATTAATTAACCCTGATTCTGCCAAATTTCCTCAATGGACTTGACCAGCTTCCATTTTTGGACCTGTCTATAATCAGATTTGGGGATATCAAGATGAAAATTTGAAGTTGGTTAAACAACCGTATCGAGCCTGGTCAGACTGCATGAATGTACAGGCTGGCCCGGCTCTGCTGGTGGCAAAGGCATTATCATTTTGGTTTCCACCTGGGTATGGTAAAAGACCACGTGAAAACTTACGTTCGTGCAAATAAATGACGCCACGACGCTTTTTCTAATAAAACCACTACTGGAAATTTGAAAATAGACTCTTATCAACATAATTATGGTCTCTCAAAAAAGGGTCATTGTACACATAAATTGTAGAAAACGAATGATGGCCTTTGAAAACAGGTTTGTTAATATTAATATAAGTTCTTTTTTCTGAAAGGGTTTTTAAACGGAGATTTTTTTAAGAATTTACCAGGATTGTCTTTTTTTCCCTTTTTTTTGAAAAAAAAAAGTCATTATTTACGGTAAGTGAACGTTTGACAGAACTTTATTGGAGTTAAGTTCTATCAATTGATTTAAATAATAAAGAAAACGTTGTTCACTGACATTAAACATTAATCACTGACATGATATATTGAACGTTGTTCACTGACATGATATAATTAACGCTGTTCACTGACATGATATATTGAACGTTGTTCACTGACATGATATATTGAACGTTGTTCACTGACATGATATATTGAACGTTGTTCACTGACATGATATAATTAACGTTGTTCACTGACATGATATATTGAACGTTGTTCACAGACATGATATATTAAACGTTGTTCACTGACATGATATATAAAACGTTGTTCACTGACATGATATATTGAACGTTGTTCACTGACATGATATATTAAACGTTGTTCACTGACATGATATATTGAACGTTGTTCACTGACATGATATATTAAACGCTGTTCACTGACATGATATATTAAACGCTATTCACTGACATGATATATATAACGTTGTTCACTGACATGATATATAAAACGTTGTTCACTGACATGATATATTAAACGCTGTTCACTGACATGATATATTAAACGTTGTTCACTGACATGATATATTGAACGTTGTTCACTGACATGATATATTAAACGCTGTTCACTGACATATTATATTAAACGCTGTTCACTGACATGATATATTACACGCTGTTCACTGACATGATATATTAAACGTTGTTCACTGACATGATATATAAAACGTTGTTCACTGACATGATATATTAAACGCTGTTCACTGACATGATATATTAAACGCTGTTCACTGACATGATATATTAAACGTTGTTCACTGACATTTAAATATCTTCAATATTTTATCAAAGGTACTTAATAAAGTCGCTATGCTAGAATTTCCTAATTTCATAAGACGCTACTCGAAAGTTCGCAAAGTGTCGCGTTCTAACTTAATTATCTACCACGTCTAACGTAGTATATGGCGTCAACGTCAGTTATTATAGGACTATATACTCAGTATAGGATAATTCTAACAAAATATAAGCAAAACATATCAACATATCAGACTATTGAAAACATACTTGAAATAGTTCATAATTATAATTCAAATTCCTCTCGGGTTTGTAGAACTTTCAGTAATTAAGTCAATTACCTATTTACCACGTGCAGAACGTTTCGGTAGACCACACGGCTACACAATAGTTGTACAAATTGTATTCTCTTATCTTTATTTGATTTATTTCTCGTTTTCCTTTGAAATTCTCTTTCCATTGAAGGTTTATGTCAAATGTTAAACAGGTGTATTCTTAGAGTACTTATTCCGTTTCTAAATTATTCCCTCCCTTTTCTAATGAATGGTCTTAGAATTGGAAGAAAACATCAAAGGCTGGAAGCGTAAGATTATCGCTTAGAGATAATAAACGAATCAATTTTACTTATTTATGTTATAATAGTGAAATAGTGCAGAGTTTTATACACTTTACCTACACGAATGTTAACAAGTTTTTATATAGAGACCTACCTTGAAATAAGCCTAAACTGTTTTGATTAACCATGCTGTATGTGATCATGAAAAAAACGGTTTTATCCCCTCTGTATCATTTATATAGATATTTAGCGTTACAAACGGTTTGATTTTCATTTTTATTTTTGACGGGCTATAACGATGACATGACGAAAAAAATGTCGAGGCGAAAACGATGTTCCGAAGGATACAATAACGATGATATGACGAACATGTGACTATGCTATAACGATGTGACGAAAACATGACAAGATGATACTAAACCGATGGAATGGTGAGCTTTATAACGATGATATGATGCGGGTTGTGCGATGATATAACCAAATGACGATGCTATAACGATGATATGACGAACATGTGACAGGGCTTTAACGATATGATTATGTTATAACGGTGATATGACGACCATATGACTGGGACTATAACGGTGACATGACGAATATATAGAGAATAATAGGTTGGTGCCGTGGATTGAGAAAGTTTATCTGGCGAGGCGGAGGAATTTATGGATTTAGCTCAATACAGGATTGGAGCACTACCTCTAGACGCTTGCAGAAATCATGATCACAAAATAGACAAATATCGTTTTTTTCGCCGAATTTTACATTTGTCCTTGATTATCGTACTTGATTCGGTGTGAAAAGATGAATTAGACCTGTTAAAGTTCATTCCGTTGGGTAAAAAGACAAGATTTTAGCATTTTATCATTCAAGCGCCTTGTCCGGTATATACCGGAATACGGTATTTAGTGTGGTGCTCCAATCCTTTTTTTAGTCACAGCCGGAATTTATTGGGTGAGCCGAAGGCGAACCCAATAAATTCCGGAGCAGAGCCAGATAAACTTTCTCCATCCACGGCACCAATCTATTATTCTATTTATCCTGTCACCGTTTTTTAAAGAATTTTATTAGGCAAACAACCTTTAATCACACTATCGGAAATGTTTCTATATAAACAAAGAAGGCCTAATTTTTCTACAACCAATGCACTCGCCGTTCTTATTATCTCCCCGTGTATTTTCACATTGAGGGCGCCATTTTGTTTAAAAATTTGATAAATAAAAACAATTTTTTGTCGAATTTTGTTGTGAAAACTATCTAGAATGAAAGAAAATGGTCTAACTAAGAAAATGAATTCGAATACCAATATCTTTTATTCAGTCGTTAACGCTGTACAGACGTTTAAAGTATTGTTTACGTGACGTCACAATGTAGCGCCAAACAGCACGTGCAAAACAATCAAATCAAGTACGCTATTCTAAAATGTCGCAAACAGTTAAGTTTTACATTTATTTCACTTTAAATAATTTTTATTTCGCTTGAAAAATTATAGAGTGAAATAAAATAAACAAACAAAGTTTTATCAACGTTTCCAAAATTCGTTATTCTACACACAGAAGATTTAACGACAGTTTTTATATTTTTTTCTTGAAAAGTAGTCCGGCAAACATGCATACCACGTGATCAAGTGCCGTAGATCAGTAAAAATATACGGCACCTTGTTATCGGGCCGAAATTGAGACAAGTGACAGGATAAATCACTTTATCATGCAGCTGCTATGGTAACTGCCCGATAACACTTGCCTGATAATTATTTTTGATATCACGTCAGTAACCTGATATCAAAAATTAGCCCCGCCCATTTTAACGGACTTTTTTTCAATTTCTTATATTCTCATTTTCATCAGCATGTGAATTCTACAATGTAATCTCATACCCTTACAAATCTTGAATCAATATGCGAAATTTATTTATTTATTATTTCGATTTCAATTACGAATAAATTAGATAGCGAATAGTTTGAAGTGACGTCATAATTTATATTGCAAATGACATCATCGATGTTCACGTCATACTATACATGTAATCATAACAAACAGGCTACACAATTTTCTTTGAGAACTTGTAAATGTTTTCTTTATTTCGCCGGATTATTATTTAATAAGTAAACAAATTGTTTCGTTTAAAAAATAATACGCATGTTTGTGTAGCTTGTGTTTGATTGCCGATTTGACTTTTCTTTGATTGAAATTATCGTGAACTTTTGAATTTGACAATTCAAGACAAAAATTGCAGTAAAGTTTAGTTTATGTGATTCTAAGCGGATTTTTGGATCGATGTTTAAATTAAAGGTAAGAATGTTATCGTATTAGGCCTACATTCTGTTGTATCTTTTTATCCGAGTCGAAAGAAAAAATGGCCGCAAATTACAAATTCTAAGTTTCAGGGGCGGAGGAATTTGTTTTCAAGAATTATTTCTTTGAACAAAAATCCCCCTTTTTAACGAAATTCGCTATTTAAAAGTAGATTATTTTGTTATTTTGACAGTTATTATGTGTTACATGATAAATAGAAAAACATGCTACTGTCTTTTGATATCAATTTTATCATGCTCGGCTGATATGGGCAGAAAGAGCTCGGCAAGCCTCGCCCTTTCTAGCCCATATCAACCTCGCCTGATAAAATTGATATCAAAAGACAGTAGCATGTTATTCTCTATATAGTATAATGATATGACGAAAAAATGACAAGGCGATACTGTAACAATGATATGATTGTGACATGACAATGAGTTATGACTATAAAATCATATTAAAGTAAAACTATATTCGTTACTATTATTTCATTATTTTTAGTATTAATATAATTATTATCAGTTCAATAAAACAAACGCTTTTCTTAAGCTTTCGACGTTTAGTCTTCTTCAGAAAAAAAAATGACGTTTTTATATTATATTTAGTATAAAACTTTATTTTGTACTTTTTAAAATAAGTTAATCTATTTATGTGAAATTTAACAGTTTTTAGCTTTATATGACATTTATGCTTATTTTACCAGATATATATTCAAAATTGAATTAGGTTTATCCCTACATTTATAAATATAACCGGAAGTTAATGAAAATAAATGTACAATCAATCATTAAAGAAATCATTAAAGAAAAGAATTGTAAATAATACATCATGGTAAAAAGAAAACAATATCAAATTTGCAAATTTCATTATGCCATTTTATACTGACAAAAACGTCACTTCAAAATTCTCGGTTGTTGTTTCAAAATGCATGTGTAAAGGAGTGTTGTTGGTTGTACAGTCATGTTTAAACAACACGTGAATCTACGAATTTACACGTGTATTTGTTAATATTCACTTACCATAAAAAAACGCGCCCCATCAACAGGCCATAATTGCGGAAACAGTCAAATTAAAAACGCGCTCTTCCCCACATCCCCTGTGACTTTTCTGGACAAAGTTTACGTACCTAGTGACCCCAGTGTAACATATTCCCCAGAACATTTTCCTGATAAAAATAGTTAATTAAATCTGTATTTGAATTTGAAGCACATCTTAAGATATTTTTTACTGATTTGATAAATACATTCGTAAAAGATTTTATAGGTCTATGTAACATTTACTTTTAACAGCACTGTCAATTTAAAAATAAATAGAATAATTTAATTTCTACATAAAATTTTTGAACTACCATGATTTATTTAGATAATTACACTTGCCATTTTAGAATGATCAATGCCATTATGACATGACCTTTGACATTTAATCCTAATTAGCTTTTAAACCCAATTTTTCAACCTAATTTTAAACGCGCCCAGATAACATTATCTTCAAGTTTGAATAGAATTTAATTTCGTTCGAAGAAATTACTTCCTTTACTTAAGATATTAATCATTTTCTTATTCTGAAAAAAATCTATGTACTCGTATACGTTAAAAAATAAATTAATTAAATTGTTTATCGTTTAACTTAAAAATAAAATATTTTTGCGGATGCATCTTGGGATATCTCAGAAATGTAAAAAAAATAGTTGTTGCGATATTATAGAAAGTGTAAAACAGTTTAAGAATAGCTGAAAAAGAAGGTAAGTAAGCATTTTAAATTAGGGCACGTGCAAGTAATGCGCGAATTTCGTCTGCACAATATAAATATTTACCTTTATTGTGACATTCTGGTTGTTTGAGGTATTCCAAGATGAGACACTGTTTATCCCTGAGTGACCATAGTTTGCAGCTATTGTCCAAGCAAAATAACCAATAAATATCACAAGAAAACACATATTTAGTTTTTGTAACACTTTTAGAAATAACTTATATCTCCGTTTCCTCGGATTGAGATTCTCGGTTGCAGACGACAATGTATCCGCGCGCTCGATGTCATCTGCTTGGCCGCCATCTTCAACGTTGCCCTCTTCACTGACCGCGCTCGCTGTGACGTTCCGTACGCACCTCATTAGCGAGGTTTTCCTTTGATCTCACTAACAATATAGATATTACAATATCAAACAGGTAACCCTCTCCGCGAATTGTGAAAAACCTCAAAAGTCGTAAACACTAGACGAAACACTGTCGTAATATGCCTTTGTTCGCTTCTTTTCATGGTATCCATTATATCATTATTTAGTCCAGAGTTTTGGATAGTTAACAAGTTTCACTTTTTCATAATTTGGTCAATTTATGATGTGGGTGTCGGTACGTGTTTGCGTTATTAAAGGACATTGAACATGGTGATTAGTGTCTTATCTATGAAATTTACCTCTTACATTTTTATAAAATCATTTGAAGTAGATATCGTAGGTATAATCTCAGCCGATAAAGTCTTTCTGAAATACAGAGTGCGGGTGGGGGATTTATCTGACCTATAAAAAAAGCCACTGAAAAAAAAGAACGCTTCAATCTAAAAAACTATAATTTCCTTTCATCTTCAATCCGCCAAAAGTAAAATAATCAGAAAAGTTCAAACGCCAATCTCTGATTCCGCTCAAATACACCGCAAAATCCTTCTTGTATTTTTTAGTCGTTCTCTTGCAGATTTTTCTCCTACGGATAAAAAACAACTTGCACCCCGATACTTCAAACTGAAGTCTTAAATGCGTTAATCACAATTAAATAAAACTTTCAACACGCTGGCCTAAAGGATTTTCTCCTAAACACGAACATCAGAGGGAAATATTCTATAAATTAGTTCCAAGATTTAACACTTTTATCTCAAAAAAGAAAGAAAAAACTACAACTTTAAAACTCTAATTTAACTGTCATCAGCGCTCACATATCTTTCACATTTTCAAACGTTTTCTTTCTATCTTGAAACCTTGTTTTTATAATGTTTATGTTGAGTTTCAAGAGGTTGTAATCACCAATTTAATAACCCCTGCAAGTGTATCTGACAAATGGATGCTGTTCACATTCCCCACGAATACGGTTTTTCAGTTTAATCCACTTTCAGTTGTCGTAAAAGCAGAGAAATAAACAATATTTTTCATTACACTACGGAATGCACTTTTCGTTACTCTTGACTTTTCGCTTATGCTCTCAGAGTAGATGTTTAATATGCTGAAATATACAGTTTATTTTGTTATAACAAAAAAAGGTTTTGAAGAAATAAAGTAACCGATAAAGATTTGATGAAATACAAATGAAACTATATTTTATCTATTTATTTACTTCGATTTGTAAGGTCATAGTTTGAACCGTAATATCAACTTATTACGATTTGCATAGTCAATTCTAGCCATTATTTATTACTTACTCATTACGATTTGTTTGGTCTTAAATTGTACCATAATAATTATATAACTTACTGAGCTCTTAATTTGAACCATTATATATTACTTATAATATATTTCTAACTGATTACGATATGTATTGCCCTATTTTGAATCATTATAAAGTACTTATTGATTAAAATTTGTATGGTCTTAATTTGAACTACAATATATTACGTACTGATTGGGTTTTTATTGTATTATTTTGAACCATTATATATTATTTTCTGATTACAATTTACATGGTCCTTATCAGAAGAATATTATATTAACTATTCACAAAGTCTTGACATGAAAATATTGGCTCATATAACGACCTGTCTTGGCTAACATCTATCGAAAAGTAAAATTTTTTAGTGACATGAAGCTTCAAATGAGGCTTTGAGACCATGCATTGATAATAATGTTCGGTTTAAACAGTATGGTTTGTTTATTAACTGATCAGAAAACACAAGCATTCTTTTTTTCTTTTCTTTTTTAATACTCTTTTCTAAAACTAGACTTCTAATTGATATCATTAAATACATTCAGATATTTTTCCGTCGAATCCAGTTTGAATGTTGAAATGTTGGATTCACATCAATGGCATTTTTCACATAAATTCTGACAATAGAACGTGATTAAATTTGTAACATTATAAAAGGAACACTTTTAATTTTAAAATTTCCATATTATAATAATGACGTAGTTAAGCGATTTTAATTAATATCATCGTTATATGCAATGAATATACATGCATAAAAAATATATTATATACATACACGTATAATAGTAACTTGTTTTAATAAATCTAATTTATAATTTTATAAATTAATCATTTCAGATAAAAAATGTTAATGATTCAGTTATTCCATTTTGAAAAAAAAATCAATAAAAAACCCATACATTTAAATACATTTTTTTACTGATAAACATTAAATACTCACAACTTAAACAAATACATCTCTCCCTGTAAGTTCACGAAGTTTTATGTATATATTTTAATTAGTCCTAATTATAGACGCTTCTCTCACGTGCAAGAGGTGATGTCTGGTATCGTCGACAGAGCACGTCAGTAATTTGTATATATCATGGTCTTCTGCTCGAGATATGAGTGGCGGGAATTAGCCATCTACTCGAAGCTGTATCAAACATTGAACATGTACTATCATGCATCATTATCAGACGAAAAGATAAGAAAGTAAAACTCATACGATTCCTTCTCTCTATGTTATATACCCCCTCTGCTTTTGAAAGAGTGCATATGAAACAAAACGCTAAAATGAAAAAAAAATGTGAGGTTTAAGAATTGTTTGTTTGTTTGTTTGTTTGTTTGTTTGTTTGTTTGTTTGTTTGCACGGGTTGCATCGGTGTTATCATTTAAAACATTCTATTCATGTTTCAACATCCTTTACAGATTTCATTTTTTTTAACATAATGAAAAGGTGTAAAGTCTTTCTTGAACATTTTTTTCCTGAAAATCTACCATGTTAAAAAAACGTCTTTAAAAAAGTACGTGAAATAGAATATTAGGTTTTTCAACATTTAAATTGCTAACAAGAATTTGTTTCTCCGCCACTGCAAGATTAAAATTGGTCAATCTAAGAACTGGATAGGGAATACTGAAGTTACATTAATTTTATTTTATTATTTTTCATTAAGTAAAGAACGTTGTTATTTGATCCCCCCCCCCCTCCCCCGCCTCAAAACATACAGAATGTTTGGTCTTCAATTAATAGGATAGTTTTGAATAAATTTGTAGCTTTGGCAGGTTGATTTATCCGACCAGTTGCTGATAAGCCTCCAGCGCGTCTCAACATTCCATCTGCATATACTAACAATTTGTTTTTCCTCGTCCAATTATCAAAACTTTCCATGCGATCATTCTAGGGACACGTGGCTCCTGTGAAACACGTTAATTTGGTCAATGTATGAATGGCATAGTAACATGATTTTGACAAGATTTATGTATGTACATCCATCTACACATATTCTATTTTATATCTAGATTTTAAAACCCGCTGTTACCATTCCAGTTGATAATTTTTAAGGCCTAATCAAAAATGTTCAGTAAATTCATTTAATGTATAGGTATACATTACATTTTAAGTACTAATAAAAATAATCAGAAATGTTAAAAAAAGTTTCTCGAATTCTCTGGAAAAACTCATACAGACTGAAATAAACGTGTGTTTAAAATCCCTCAATAAAGAAACGGAAGTTTTATAACCAGTTTATTAGATGACCACCCTTTGATTATCTTTCCAAACACATCGAGAACTGTATTGCTCACGTACCAAAACTCCAGTTCTGAAACCCTGTTAAGACCACACACATACATTATTATATACAAACATAACACATGCAAGCACAAGGGAATCGTGTGCTGGACTAACCCTTTACTTAACCTACTTTAGCTACTTATCTCTATAAATATATTAGCCGCGTCACGACAAAACCAACATAGTGCGTTTGCGACCAGCATGGATCCAGACCAGATCAGGATCCATGCTGTTCGCTATCAGTTTCTTTACTTGTTATACAGTTGGTAAGCGAACAGCATGGATCCTGATTAGACTGCGCGGATGCGCAGGCTGGTCTGGATCCATGCTGGTCGCAAACGCATTACGTTGGTTTTGTCGTGACGCGGCTCATATAAACACAAACTAAAAACGACCCTTATCTCGTTTAACTTTCAATTTAATTTCCAAGACAGTTAACAAGATTACTTGTAAAATTCTCTCTAGGAAAAATATATCTATCAGAAACATTTTGTATGCTATGTCTTCATACAATCTTTGTTACAAATTTACTTATCAATCTCTTTAAATGTTCATCATTTTTGTACTGATTATTTTAAGGATATTTCTCATCTGTCTTATATAATATAGATTTTGATGAATCGATTTTGGCAAAGATTGCAAATAGCTGGTTTCTTTGACACAAATTCTTTGTAAACAAATGTCCACGAACTGCTAAATATTACAGAAAAAAACAGAAGCTATGCAATTTTGCAATTTTCTTCAAGATTATACAATAAAAAAACCGGTAAAATTGTTAGAGAAAACTTGCATAACGTTTTGTTTAGCTCCATATACATATTTAAGTTTAATTTAATAATAAAATGCTATATCATAAAGATGTAAGATTGTTTATGCATAGTTCATGTATTGTTCACTAAGCACAGTTGACACTTGTAAATATCTAATGTTTGTTGTTTTCTATGTTCTGTTCTGGTTAATGCAACGAATTAATTAACTGACACTTTTTCACTAAATTAAATACTTTTATGTTTTTTTTATGTACAAAAATGTAACATAATATTTTCTATTCATACCACTTAACCTTTTGGATACAGAGCACCCTGTTATCCAAAGCTTTCCTAATATGCTACATAATTATATTAAACAGAACAGAACAGAACAGAAACTTTATTACTTGGTTTAAGCATAAAAAGCTCATCACCATATTAAATATACAAATACAACATATAATACATAAATGACACATGACATGAATATATATAATTACAAAATAATGGTTTATGTGATGTGAGAATGTTTAATTTGAGATACCAAATTACTTAAAAAGCATATGAATACATGTATATAATACACAAGAATTTGCCTATCTTTACCAAACATTATACAAAAAAGCAAACTGCGACAAATGAAGGGGGATAACTTAGGTAACTTTACATAACCAGTATTTTAACATTTACTTCCCCTTAATAATTCATGATCAATATTAATAGAATGAAAAATGAATACATTTACTGATTTTGTACGTTTTTTTATGTATATAAAGAAAAGGAAAACCCACACAAAACAGACCAATACCCAAAACAACTAACGCTTGACTTAATTATAAGGATTAGTTTTGTCAAACCAATATTTGGTTATGTGTTGAAAAACAGATATAGTTAATTTGAGAAGATACAAATATTAATAAATAAATAAAAAATATATGTATATATGTACAATTTCATATTCACATTAAAGAGAATAGCGCAAACCCGCAAGCTATCCACAGTGAATCAATAAAAAGAAAATCCTGATAGGGTTTTTCTGAACATTAGAGTACAGTTGTTTTTCCGAACTTTTTTTTTCACTTTTCACTGTTAAAATTTATCAACATGTATTGAGATAGTACACAACAGAATCCCTAAAAAAGCCCAACACGGAAAAGTTGAAAATGTTGCAGGCCCGGCCCGATTGAGTCCGCTCTTGGACGGCAGTGGTAATTGCAAGCACCGTCACAAGCAAGTAGAACTCAACATTCAACATGAACTGGTACAATGCTGCTGTTTTAGAATATTTCCATAAAGCAGCAGCTGCATAAATATTTTAATGTATCAAGCTAGAACAATGGTGTTGTTTTGGATTATTTCCATAAAGTTGCGTAAATAGTTTAATGTATCAAGCTAGTACAATGCTGTTTTGGATTATTTCAAAGTTATTATTATTTTATTATTTTAAGGTTGTAGTAGAATCTATAAACTAGTTTCGATGGGTTTTTCTTTGCCTTAACTAATCACATATTATGTGAACATGTATGTTCATAAGCGGATAATTTTGCTTATTAAAATTAATACAGATTCCCTTGTATTGAAGAAGATCATGTAGGATCCTCAATTTGTGTGAATATGGTTTTCGGAGAAGCTCGTTTTTGTCTGCACATAATACAGTGCTATGTAGAGCCTATGAAAATAATGAACTATGCATTTTATGTTTTATATCTTCTTATTTTTTAATATTGGGTTTAACGCCGCTTTCAACAGTATTTCAATTATAGCTGAGGGAATTTAACAAAACCAGTGTTTCTCACAGTATCAACTTCTCTACGGAAATAAATGACAGGAGTCCGAGTTGGACCTTGAAACATTTCATACACAGTAAACAATTCTAAAGGATAATCTATTAGTACAATACGCAATCGTGTCTCGAATTCATGCCCTCCGAATTCAGCGTAAGACCACTTTCCGATTACAGAATATTCAAAGTTAAAAACCTGATTATGATCTCCCTTAATAAGGCAGAAGTCCACTTTATTGTTTACATCATAAACACGTGTTTTTGGTGTGTGTTTTCGTTTGTTTTTTTTGTTATTTTTGTTTTAAAGCAAACTGTATTGTATTAAAAATGAACACGATAACGTCAACATAATACATTATTCGTATTCAGTGGTAACAAAAGTTGCACAAGGTATTTAATAATTATATTTTGTATTTAATTAAAATATACAGTATAACATCTACAGAGAAATGCCCTTTGTTGCCTAGAGCGGTTGCTCTACAGAGGTAAAATGTAGTGGAGCCCTTTAGAAATAAATAATATTTTGGGGGCCGCTTTGTTATACTGTAATGAAAAAGCGGTAAGTAGGTATACGTAAATCCGAGTTCCAAAAAGTTTTATAGTTTGTCATTTTCTAATTATGACATTTAAATTAGATTATAATTATATAATATATGTATTGCACATACTTAAAAATGGTAAGCAAAAATAAATGTTTTTGTCTCTTGTACAGTTTGTTTTTTAATATTCTTAACATATTTGAATATTATTTCTGAATTTAATTGATCACTTATTTCACATTTGTATGCATATCTATTTTAATTGCATTTTTATGATGTGTTTTGATCGAGGCTCGTCTGCCTGTATGTGATTTTATGAAAGTGTTTAAAAGCTGAATGTAACGTAAAAAATAAATATTCTAACGGGTATAAGCTAAGCAACATAATATTCTTACTTCATTCATATAGCAATATGTGAATGTTATTTTTTTGTGCTGAAACTAGTTAATTCATATAATAATATAACACTTTTCACTCTTTCATTACAAACATCAAAATATAAAATAAAAATTAAAAGATGTATGAGACTGCGTCCTGCAAATTAGAAACGTATTTAAGATTAAACATTGTAAATTTGCTGTTCTAGCGCATGCTTTCAATGAGAAAATAATCAACAATTTAAAAAATATACATTTCATCAAGTTTCTGTGTTGTTTATACTTACAATCGTAATGTTTGACGTAAGAAAATTGTTATTTGGTATTATTCTTTGAACTCCAACGTCTATTAACGCCACCAAAACCATTACGTTACATTCCCTTTATTTTATTTTAAAACAGTAATAGCAAAATATCTTACGCGTTGACCCTATATTTTTATTGCATAAATATTTTCCTTCACTTTCTCACTACACGCTCGAAAAATTATAGCAAAATTCACCGTGTTGAATTTTTTTTATTACACAATCTTTATTGCGATATCGCGCGGTATTTGCATCAGATATGGACGTCAGAATGTAGAGAAAAATGACGTAGAATCGCAGACTATTAAGCAAATGTTAAAGAAAGATATCATTACAAAGACATACATTTACTGAACACTATAAAATTAAAACGAAGGAAATCGGATGAAAATTGATAAGAACAGATTGGTTTACTGAAAAAAAAGACGCAGTTTCGCCGCCACAGATAGAGGGCGCTTTGACGTCATAGTAACGCTGTTTATTTATAAAATAATACTGCAGAAGTAAAGCTCACATATCTATATGTTTGCATACAAAAAATCATCAAGATCTGAGATGTTGTCAAATTTCGGTCGGAAAGTAGCGAGCTACCTTAATAAAAACGATATTACACTAGACGATATTACACTAGTGTAATAACACTTTGACGTCACGTCATTTGCACTATAAACATAGCGTTAAAGCGCGCTAATGTTAGCGTTACACTATAGGCGCGTCAAAGAAAAATGACTACTAGGTATATTTGAACTTTTGGTGTTCACAAGGTGAAATATATTACAATCTTACACTAAACTAAACAAATTTTCTTTTTATTACATGCAAAGAAACGTTTTAAAAAGACATTTAACCTAATACTGAATGAAAAGCGCGCCAAATAATAATACAACGTGACGTCATTTACGACGTCACGTCATTAAGTTGGTACCCAGTACTGTGCACGCTGATATTTTACTGAAACAACGTAAGGGGCTTAAATTCAAAACAGTGAAATTATCAAAGTGGTAATTTCACTGTTTCAAACAGTGAAATTACCAGTTTTATATCACTGATATATTTCTATAAACCACCGAAAAGCATGTAATAAATGGCTTTGTTACACTCCTGCGCCGCGGTTTATGTGATAATTGAAAATAAGCGACGTCGTGTGATAAAAGTACCACATTCTCACATATATATATATAACTTGTGTGAACGTAATTAAGCAAAAATCATGTTGACAACATTAAACTAGTATTTTTTACAACATTTAAATAATACGCGCGTTTTATTAACTGACCTAATATCCTTAAATTGGTAAAAAATTCGGCAACTTGTTATATCAAAATCGTCTGATTACGAACACATTATGGATATGAACTTTTGAACAACACCATGATCAATCGCTACAAACGTTTTTCTTCTCCACAGTTTAACAGGAATACGCTGCTGGAAGCGATCGGCAAAATTCAAAATTCCTTTGATCTACGATAATGCATAACGGAGGTACTCCCCCGTAGTTTTATACAATACTAGCCAAAACAATACTTGTTTTTCAACACGTTTTCACTTTATTCGTGAACATCCTAATATGTATTTCTCTTTCATCATCGCATGAAAGCTTTGATCTTTCAACAATTCACAAAGTTTTATAGTGTTTAAGTAAAACCATTAAAAATAAATTCGGTGAGAAAGATCACATTTCGAATACAATATAGTGCTGTTTTTTCTCTTTTATCATACTCGTGCCAGCCTTTTTTTAAAGGCACATTATGCCTCAGAAACGAATATTTTTTTCCCTTTAAGATTAGAACGTTTTGAGCATGTAACATGCTTATCACCTTTACAAAGTGGTGCTAAATTTGACATTATTGGTCTGTTTTAACATATTAGCTCCTAATCATTGTGACATTGTTGATTTTATTATATTATTACTTGTAACAACGAGGTACTAAATGTGCACAAGTTGGAAATAAACTTTTCTTCTTCTTTTTCTTCTTCTTCTTCCTAACCTTATCAAAATTAAACGACTGATTGATTTTTTCATTAAAGTTGCAAAATGTAATCAAAGTTGTATTCTGACTTCCATACAATTTACCAAAATCACTATAACTGTTAAAATTGACGAAAGGCACATAAGCAAAAGATTGTGAAAGTAATTGGTCAACGAGTAACTATTTAAAAAAAAAACTCTAATTGGACACAAAAAATAAAAAGGTTTTATTAAAATATATGAAAACATTTCTGAGACAAAATGAGCCTTTATCCATCCTATCTGTCCGTACGTGAGAAAATGAATTCAGATTTTTTTCAGAGGCTAAAATGTACGTAAAAAAGAAAGTAAACTCTTTCTCAATGATAAAACGTCAAAAACCGGAGTTTTGTCCCTTGATGAAAATAAAAATAACCCGCATCATATATCTATCTACTTTTTTATTGTGTATCAAAAATATAACTTTTTTTTTCAAATAAATTAAATGATATAATAGATAAGAACGAGTATGCATGATAAATAGTGTATCCAGAGTTCCGCAAGAGTCGAACCTACCCCACACGTCAATGGTTTGGACCTGAAAAGAGAAATTGACAAAGAATGGTTTTACTGTTCTATTTTATAAATTATTTGAATTTAAGTGTTTAAGGGAATTTATGTTGGGTATTTAGTCTGCATTCTTACTGGTCATTCCTAAATTATAATGGTTACAATTTCATATAAAAGAAGGGATAAAGAAATTCTTTTAGGACAGATTATTCGATTAACTGAATGACCAATAGAGTCGCTGGAATGGCAATAAAATCATTTAGTTTCTTTGTTGTAATTTAAGCAAAACAATACTTTTTAAAGATGACAAGGTCAAATGAAATGTGCATCATAAGTTGTTCCTGTCTTTTTGTCAGACGTGGAGATATTTACTTAATGTAACATATATTTATATGGTAGTCAGTCACTTGAGGAGGAATTGTTAATTACTAGGTAAGTTATCCAGGACAGTCGGTTAGGTGGATCGACGACCAAAATTTGTTAAAATCGGCGTAAAAAACAGAAAAACATATTATCTTGAAATAAGATTGCTTTTTGTCCTTATGTTTCTACGAGTGATACCGGTGGCGATGCATAATTGACAGTACAACTCAGCCTGGCCGTCATAGCCGTTGGGTCGGTCAGGCGTTCCCGTGTTATGCAAAAAATACATCATCTGTGGCCGTACTGGATGTACAAAGCATTTCGTTTTAGTTTTTTGTTGTTGTTGTTGTTGTTGTTGTTTCATTTTAAAACATAGGCCGGACCAGGAGAGGCCAATATGGCGTCTGTAGAACTAGATGGAATCTATGTACTCAATATATCTAAAAATAGAGAAATTTACTTACTGTCGAGGTTTAAGCCTGAGTACAGCTCCAGCAGGTTTATGGGGGGAGGGCTCATCTGTCATTAGTAATAGTACCTCGCCTAGAAAACGAAATATTATGATGAAGATTTAGAAATTGAAATATTATGATGTAGATTTAACTATCTTCATAACAAATTCAATGCATGTTAAAACATATCGTATCAATACCGTATTGTAATTCATTGCATTCAATAGAAGGGAAATGATATACACTATCAAAAACATTGATCCATCTACATTAAATACTGTGATTATCTTTAACAGGCAACAAAGAATTTTCAGTAGCATTTTGTTGTTCTGATTCGTTACTGAAATGCTTCTAAAAAGGAAGCAGTTCCGTGAAGTATTTAGTAGACAATCTATGTTAATGTTATCTATGATATATGGTGGCTGGTATACGCAATGTTGTATTGTCGCTTTTCGCTACGAAAAAGCGAAAACACGAAGGTAAGACTTTAAGACAAAGTCCAACTTTGTCTCATTTTTGTGTTTTCGCATCCTGCACGCGAAGAAAGCGGCAAATTCAGGCAACAAAAAATTAAAACAAGAACTGTCAGAGGACAGTAACGCTCGACTATTTGAAAAGTTGTCACAAGGGTGTTTCATTGAGTATAATAATGCTTACCTATATGAATACATAAAATTGTCCGAAAAGGTACAAACCCTTCAGTAGTTATGGAGATACCAGCTTACAAGCAAAAATTTACCTAGAATTTCTAAGTCGAAAAAGGGGAATAATTATGCAAAAAAGCAATAAGAGTTGGGACTTGTGCCAATCATCTTAGATAATCACAGAGAACAAGTGTGTGAAGTTTCAATCCATTCCCTTCAGTAGTTATGGAGATACCAGCTTACATGCAAAAACTTAACCAAGAATGTCTAAGTCAAAAATGGGGCATAATTATGCAAAAAAGCAAATCAGAGTTATGGGACTTGTGCCAATCATCTTAGATAATCACAGAGCAGAGAACAAGTGTGTGAAGTTTCAATCCATTCCCTTCAGTAGTTATAGAGATACCACCTACACGCAAAAACTTTGAAATAAATTGCGAAAATTAGCCATCGTATTGATACTACTTGTGCTCATCAATCTTAGTTAATAAATTTGTACATGTATTACCTTCATGCGTCTCACCAAACGACAACAGCATTGTTCTCTGAGAGGCACGTGCATTGCACGCGCACATGCTTTTATCACAGCGTTTAAAATCACTGGACGCCCAAGTTTGTGGAATGGCGTTTTTAGAAGGTTCTTTCAACGTGAATGTTGCACTACAACACAAACATGATTCTAATATATTTTTAAACTTTTTTCGTTTGTTTTTGTAATCGAATATTTTAAGATCATTGGCATACTTAGCTAATAAAGGAAAAATAGTGAGAAAAAATGTTCAGAGTTCAGAAGAACGCACAGCACGTCAAAGTTGAAAATGTTGCAGACTTGGTTTGAGATTGTTCCTGAGCGACAGTGGTAAGTACAAACTACCGTCCATGCTTTCTATAGATCCTGCTTGAGCATTTTCATCCTCAAATGACATGATATAACTAACGCTTTTCATCAAAACATTGTCATATTTGACAGGAAAATAGTACTTAATAAAATGTATTCAAGGATAACGACTTCGGACATTATTAAAGCAATGTTTTTTTTTTGTATAAATAAAAAAAAATAATTAATTGATTCGAGGAATATCAACGGGATTGATATTCGAAAAAGGAATATATGCATACATATTTGCACAGCAACATCTCAATTAAATTGTACGATCTCTTTGAATGATATACTGGATATTTGTTTGTGAAATAACTGAAATGGAATTGGGCATGAAATATCTTAATCCATTTCAAAATCTTGATTATATCATTCGATTTCGCTAAAGGAAACCATTACTTGTTTATTAGTAACATAATCAAATAGGAAAATGAATATATAACAAATAAAAGTGACGCCAATTTTCTGCAATGAATAAAAAACGTAAAAACAAATTGAAAGATTACCCGATATAAGGTTTGATTGATTCTTTTTGATCGGATTCAATGTCATCAAGCAAGCTAGAATTGTCCTGATTGAGTGACATTGTCGATTCTTATCATATCTATTGTGTGACAATCGCCGATAATGACGTTAAGAGTGCGTAAAAAAAAACAACATGTTTTCGTTCCAGGGATAAATAATGCAAAATTGTGATTTCATGTTTGTCACTTCACAGTAATAATATCCGGTGTTCGTACATTACAATCTGTTTTATACAGATTTCGTCACGAAAACATTGCTATTTTTTGTTATAATTATCTTTTTACGAATTACAAGGCATATGTGATAAAAGTACATTAATTTACCCGGTTGAGTAATCCCCGTAAAGAAGTTGTCCGTAAATTTCCGGGAATGTTGTGCCTCTATACAGAGGGCCGCTTACAACTGCTACAACTTTTGACGTGTTGTCACCTTGGCGAATCTCGTGTATAGGGTGAACTGTTTTACCCACTGTAATAATAAACTTTTTTTTACGATTTCAAAAGAAAAAGAAAGAAATAGTTTTATCCATTTTAAGAAAATGCTTCGGTAAATTTATATAGCTGCATTGCACTCTTCTATGCATCATTTCAGATATGAACGTGCAGTAGAAAGATAATATATACGTCTTAATAATCACTTTGTTAAAGATATACATATACTATGCTCAAATTTGATATTTGAATATTAATAATTGCTACCCGTCTTTTTGTAAAAAGATATTAAACCTGTGATGACTTCACAAATGTACAATGTCGATATATTTTGTTTTAAATCATATACACTACAAGGGGACACACTATGAATATTTTGTATCATTTAAAAACTAGAATTTTTAGAAATGACCAGTTATAGGAAACGCAGATTCCCAACTTTTCATACATAGTTTGTACGTTCTTTTATTATTAACATAAGACATAGTTAGTAAGAATTTTATATATTTCAATAAATTTCTGCAATAAAAATATTTTTCTCAAAGATGAGCATAGTATATCTTTTAAATATCAATATTTAATGATAAATAGAGAAAAATGATAAAGATAAATACCCAGTGTTTTGCACATGTCCTCGTCCCTGCATATATTTCCCTCCATATACGGCCAACCGTAGTTACCGCCCTTCTTCAACTCGACAAGTTCGTCTGCTAGTGAAGAACCGAGATCGCCACAAAATATTCTCCCTTTGCCTTGTCCTGCTTATACCGAAAAAAGATATGTTCTTAAATAATCGTAAACATATCTGTAATCTTATATTGTTTAATTGATAATTGGATGCTAGAACGGAAATTAAGGTCTGTATTAACTTCTATACAGACGTTTCCATGGCGCCCTCTCAGTATTTCAAAGTTCCGTTGCTCAAAGTAGTTTTAAAGAAATCGGTTTTAAAGTTTGACCATTTAAGGTATTACCATCCTAATGCATTACCTCCGCTTTGAAGAGTATTCAAATAGGCTAGAACTACTGTTAACTACATTGAAAATGAGGGCCGTGGGTTCAATCCCCAGAAGGGTGAACTTTTTTCTTTCTTTTTTTCTTTTAACATTATTTATGTATCTCTCGTGTCCCATTTGGAAAGAAAAAAGTGTTTAATGTTGATTATTTAATTTATATAGGTATTTATTGGCTAAATTTTGCTAAATCTAGAAATAAATATGGAACCTGATATTTTCAAAGTGTAATAAAATCAAAACTAGACGGTAAAAGTATTTCATATTTTACAAGATCAACCAATATACTTCATTAAAAGTTTAGGGAAACTTTGAAAACAGGCACTCATTTGGGTAAATTTTAAGGAATTTTTAAATTAGGCTCCCTAAGTAGGAAAATGGTCAGACACGTGGTAAAAATTAAATTAGGCTCCCTAAGTAGGAAAATGGTCAGACACGTGGTAAAAATTAAATGGGTGGGGTAGGGTAACATATTTATACAGATTTCATAAATTTTAAGTAGAAACCATAATTTTGCTTATGTGGATTGTTAGCTGAATGGTGCTATTCGTTTCTTACCGAAAATTAATGGGAAAACATTTTTCATTAGAATGTTATTGCAGATATTTAAAGGTTCCTCATTTCTAAAAAAGGGACCCTCATAACATCCTAGCTTGAGTTCAGAAAATTGGCCATAACTTGATATCCGTACGGTAAACTTTGTTTAAATTTTGCATACAGGTGTACTTTAAGGTATATATCTATCATATGATGTCATTTTTTAGTTCCTTATAGTGCCCATTAGAAACCTTAAAACAATATCTTCAGTCGATGAAAGTATTTTGTTGTAATGTTGTATGGGTAAATGAGTAAGAATGGTCCAAACTACTCAGGCTTAAAGTTTTAGAAGGAGTGTATGGGTAGTATTTTGTAAACAAAAAAAGAAGTCGAAATTTTGGGTTCGGGGATAGAACCCCATTCAATTGTAGTTTTTATGGACACAGAACCTTGTGTTATTTTCACGTAACTTCCATTGTGTACATACATTTTGGACAAATTCCAGATGTCACTATATGAGCTTGCCGATTGGACAAATTGGACATAACGCTTTGCTAAACTGAAGGCTTTATCAATTTGGACATGTATAAGTGATAACTGGACTATAACAATTGCTCTATGAGAAAGGGTTTAGAGTTCAAAACCCAATGGTAGATGGAACTCCATTTCAACGAAAATACGAGCGCTTAGGACAAGACGTTGGGCAAAAGAATGTCCGCTTTTATATGTCGTAGACTGTTGTGCAGGAAGCAACATGTCCATGAAACTCGTATTGAATCAAATCATCAGAATATTTGTCTTAAAATCAATGCGACAATTTTAAAATCAGCTTTGAGCTTCAATGCAATGGAGCTGTAATGCAAACAGAGCGTTATTCACCTAAAGTTCATAGTTGGAATTGTTTCACTTAATGTCTGCGATAGTTTTATTTATTAACATTGCTTCTGAATAAATACTTTACTGATGTCTCGACACGCAATCAGTTCGAGGAAAGTTATGCACGCCCTACAGACAACGCCTCCACCTTCTTAAAACAAGATCAGCTCCTACGCGCTACCATTCTTTCACGGAAGTATCTACGGCTCGTTTTAAAGAGGTATTAAGCGAATTTTTTTTATGCGTGTTACACAACCATTTTGATAGTTTTTGTCTCATTTGAAACAGTAACATATAATATCAAACGAAAACAAACTAAAAAACATGGCCTTATACAAAGAGATGGTAGATAATGCAATTACCATAGTCTTAATAGACCTAAAATATTTTGCAATTTTCAATCGTTCGTACAGTTTATTTCTATTGCTCTCTCGAGATATATCTCATCACAAGAATGTTAACAATAAAGGCCAACAACCTGTGTTTGTAAAATGAGTTTTACTACGCATTTAAGTTCTATAAGGTTGTTTATACAACCCTGATTGGTAAGAAAATCAGAGCAACATTGCACGTCGTGATTATAACCGTGTCACGTGAGTGACTTTTGAAGTAATTCACGTGATCTGGCCGACTTTACCAAGGGCGATGGTGACTGATAATATTAATTAATTAACTCTTGGTCCCTATAAATCCGATTGACCATAAGATCAAGGGTATAAAAAGATGCTATCAAAAGTAAATCGCATTACGTGAACTAAATAACTCACTGATAAAAGTGGAATTCTAGAAATATTACATCGTAGAAAAAAAACTACTTTTTACTCGCAATCTACCTATACAAGGTTGGGATGACGCAATTAACTTTTTTTTATTTTAACACTCTTTTATAAATTTTTTTCTTTTTTTGTTGTTGTAATCGTGAGATATTATTTCATATAAATATGTGACTTATATAGGTCCAATGGACCAAGTGTTCTTCATTAAATGGTCATCTTTATAATAATAGAAGACGCTTGCGCACAATTTTCAAGCACACAGTCTTGCATTGAAGTAGTTTTATACCAACTGTTAAAGCAGTATGTCACAAAATTCAAGGAAATTTTCATGAAAATTTTTATAATGTATTTAAAAAGTAAAATATTGTGAAAGGGGCAAAGAAAGTAATTTACACATTGCAAACTACATGTATTTACATAATTTATCAAAAGGAGGTAAAAATATGCAAAAGAGGAGCTTATTGCGTTACTCACGCAGTAGAAATATGGTAATAAATACTGCAAACTCAGTCATTAAATCGCCCATAGCATGTTAACTATTACTTGAATCTTCACTCTTTTTACATTTCTTAAAAGCTTCGTACATTTTTTCTCAAGCTTAATTTTCTTGAAATTGTTTAACTTGGTTATGAATGCTAACATGAATTTGATTTTCAAATTGATCGACATTTTATATTAAATGCTAATATGGGAATTTTCTAAAAAATCACATGCATTGCTTGATATACAAAATTGTCGTTTAAAGTGGTTAAGTGAATAATGTAATGACATATCTAGTAAATATAACGAAATATTAAGTGGTAAATGTAACAGCATATTTGTGGTAAACGAAAATGACAGTTAGTGGTATATCAGTATGTAATGATATATCTAGTGGTAAATGTAATGACATATCTAGTTAAGTGGTAAATGTAATGAAATACTTAGTGGTAAATGCAATGACATATTTCGTGGTAACAAAATGAAATATTTAGTGGTAAATGTAATGACATACTTATAGTGGTAAATGTATGGTAAATGTAATGGTAGCAAGTGTGTGCATGTCGTACCTTGCTTGTCTCCTCTGTCTTTACTACATCTCCACATATTTCTTGCTCCCATTGCATAAACTTCCGGTTTCCAATCGGTTTCATTCGGATTGTCTTTTGGGATATCGTAATACCGGAAGTGGTTATCATAAACAGTCGTTTTATCAACATCTATACGTAAGACCTTTCCTAGAAAACTGACACTGAAATTGAAAACAAAACGTGAGCTGATGACTGTAAAATCTACTTTACAATGTTGCTGAAAATAATCGCATTTTTACAGCTTCGAACCTACTTAGTGTTGTGATCTAAGCCTATTAAAGATTAAGATACTGTCACGAAACATTTGGTAGACAAAAAAAAAACAATAGTTGTTGACACATTTCTTGTGGATACTGTTTCTACGCCATTTATATCGTATTGGTTTTTGCTCTGTTTCTTCTTGACATTTCATGGCCTATTTCTGTTTGAATAACTACAAACGTTAATCGTAGACTTAAGAATATTTTTGTATAATGCATTTTATACATGTAAAATAACAAAATGTTTTAATTTATACCCGTCTTGAGCTCGGATATTCTTGTCGTCACTAGGCCCGCCGTCGCCGACGAATATATAAAGGTATCCGTCGTCTCCAAACAATAGCTGAAAAAAAAGAGGTATACCAACTTCTGAAGCTGACAAAATACGATAACAACTAAGTCCAAGCCACAAGATTATTAAAAAAAATGATTTGTCACTTCTCAAACATATATACCCCCCGTTAATATATATTACTACATGTGCATGTGTTTATATGTTATATTCAGAACGTTTTGTCTACGATGGTGAAAACTTGAAGTTATATCGAGTTTTCACCATCGTGGTTTCTTTATTTTGACTTTTCACCATCATAATTTACTGTTTTCGTTGTTTTATTTTTGCGTGTGTCGCGATGGCCCTAACGGATCACCGTAGCGATCAGATGATCACATACTTTGCCGCCGTTTCCAAGCATTAAACTCCCTCTGTTTTGAACAATAACTATCGGAATGAATAATTTCTTACCCTTACTATCAACATACAAAAACAAACGATTCCCTTGATCGTTCGACATAACTAACTGTCGAGTCCTTAAAAGATAAACATAACTAACTGCCGTGTCCTTATTTTATCGACATGACGAATAAACGAATCCTTATTGTATCATTATAACCTACTTACGAGACCTTATGTTATAATAAGTATATACTGTAAAATTTACGGAAGCGTCCTGGTGCCAATTTAACATGTTCTATAAAAAAAGATAACTCCTACGTAGGACTTTGTAACTCCTACGTAGGAGATAAATAAAAGCCTAATTAGGAGTTTATAACTCCTACGTAGGACTTTGTAAGTCCTACGTAGGACTTTATAACTCCTACGTAGGACTTTATAAGTCCTACGTAGGACTTTGTTACTCCTACGTAGGACTTTATAAGTCCTACGTATGACTTTGTAACTCCTACGTAGGAGATATAAAAACCTAATTAGGAGTTTTGAAGTCCTACGTAGGACTTACAAACTCCTTCGTAGGACTTTATATCTCCTACGTAGGAGTTAAAAAAGCCTAATTAGGAGTTTATAACTCCTACGTAGGACTTTATAACTCCTACGTAGGAGTTAAAAAAGCCTAATTAGGAGTTTATAACTCCTACGTAGGACTTTATAACTCCTACGTAGGACTTTATAACTCCTACGTAGGACTTTTTAACTCCTACATAGGACTTTTTAACTCCTACATAGGACTTTTTAACTCCTACGTAGGACGATAAAAAAGCCTAATTAGGAGTTTATAACTCCTACGTAGGAGTTATAAAGTTTATAACTCCTACGTAGGAGTTATAAAGTCCTACGTAGGAGTTACAATTTAAAGTCCTACGTAGGAGTTATCTTTTTTTTTTATAGAACATGTTAAATCGGCACCAGGACACTTCCGTACAAGTTTGACTATTTCTCATGTTCTAAACCCAAAGTTAGCTTTCATTCATCGGACTTTAAGCCGGAAACTAACGTATTATATATACCTGTCCTCCATTTCGTCTGTCCCCAGGTTGTTCTATCAAAATCAGAAGTCTCTCTTTGGACACGTCTTTCTTTGTTATTTCACTAATTACCACGTAGTCTTTGTTATTAATTGATCGTATTGAATATGTATATATTTTCTCATTCACTTCGAACTTAGGATGTAATGCTAGACCCAGCAACCCTCGTTCCTCGTATAACTCGTGTTTACACACCACTAATTCTGTTATATCTAAATAAGTTCTTAATTTATTCTTAGTAACTTCCGGGTGGTATTCGTAAATCATCCCTATTTGTTCTGCCAGAAAATATATTCTTTTCCCACTGAAAACCACAGGTTCTATATGCACGGGATTTCTGAGCGAGGATATTTCTTCGTGTAAGCAGTAACACGTGCTATCGTCTTTTAGAACATTTATTGTAAACAGTTCGCGAATCTGCGACATGAACACAACAATCAAAACTACCAGGGAATCCTTAAGAATACTCTTCATTTTTGAAGTGCAATATTGATTAATTTCCGGTATTCAACACTGCAGAGATTCCAGGAGCGTTGACAATTATTGCTGGCACTTATTAACCAATTTTCACCACATGTAACGTTACTAATTGGAACAGTTCTGGTTTTCTCCCATCTGCCTATACGTCATAGTAACATGACCTGAAAATGAATACCGAAATTTATGAAGTTTGTAAAACAAAATTACGATATTTGCTTAAACCATAAAAAATCAACCACGTGGAACCAGATTTAATCAACCAAATAACTAAAATCTTACCTTTTACCTTAATCAGCAAAACATATCAAATATGACGGTAAATATTGAACGCTGAATTGAGCATAAAGTCAAAACAAGGTTTATAATTGTGTAAAATACTTTCACTGAAAAGATTATAGTCACTAATGAAATTCGTTATCATGGTTATATAGTGACCATACGGAACCTTGTATTTGTTTCCCATGCCGTATCAATTCTTGTAATCAATAAAATAAACGTCTGCTTGATTCCTGATAACAAAAGTGTCCTTCAATTTGAGAAGAACTGACTTGGGTCTCGCGTTTGTAGAATTTTAAAATAATTTTACGAACGCGAGACTCTGCAGAAGTGGCCATTTTAATGAATTACAATGTATGGTTCTTGCTTTTGCTTTTCACTGAAACTATTGCACTTGTATAATTAACGCAATGACCTCCATTGTTGAATGGTAAAGTCGCTGACTTTATATTGCTTGTCCGTTAATTGTGTATGTTCGAATCTCGCAGATTTCTTATATTCGAGAAATCCATATAAGAAGAGTTTTATTAATCTACTAAACTCGCAGGTGAGTTCTTGTATCCATTATATTGCATCCTCTAACTGTTGCGATTTGGTCTGATACATGGTCGGTAAAGGATAATAATTACGATAAGATAACAGAAAATTATTAATGTGACACTCTAAATTCTTTTATGGGAGATAGGATTAATACTCTATATCAGAAAGTCAGATAGTTTTTGGATTTTCGGATTTTGTCGCGAGATACGACATGGCGTAAATCAGCTACCATATATTTCTTAAAAATCTGTTACAGACATTTCAATACTTGTTAGACATACAAGTCATCCTTTCTTGTGCAGTATATATTTATTACATAAAGAAGCATCTTATTCGAGTTATTAACGCCATAAATTATAATTCAACTGTAAAATGTCTCTCATAAGAATTATATCAACGTTGCGTGGTTAACAGATATTAATATCAGTTCATTAATTTAAACGCTCATTTGTTATACCTATAAATAACTCACAAATCATTAGAACCAATTAAACTAGCTGGAGAATAGTTTTAAAAAGTTTAAAAGACGCTAATCCCTGTCGTGTAATATGGCTGATGTAATGATGCTTTACAAAGCGACCTTTACGAATAATTCAGGAATTAATATCTATATAAAGTATAAAGTATTTCTTTGCTTGAATCTAAGGTACATTGATCAAAACCAGGTCAAATTGCGATTGCGAAACATGTAAAATTCAGCTCCCACCCCCAAACTTCACAGCCATACCTGAATTTATGAAACATAGCATCCGACACCTAGGCAGACCCATTATTAATTGTAAGTATGGTAGTTGATGAATATTTTCATCGATTGAGATAGTTTTGTTTCCTTTTGGCATCGAACTCATTGTTGCACGGTTTTCATCAAATGAAACAATTTCGTTTCCTTTTGGCATAGAACTTATTGTTGAAAGTGACAATACTTGAAGCAAGTGGAAATAAACTCCAGTAATGTAAGGACAACACCGTTTAAGATTAAGAACAGAACAAAATAGAAAATTTATTCAGCCTCGTGCATATACAGCACTTCGACATCAACCGATATACATCGTAATTTTGTAATTATTTGAAAAACGATTGACTCATCAATATTTTGTCATCTACGCCTTCGAATTGTTGGTTTACGTGTTTGTAGCCTATCTAAAAGTCGTCTGCTGTTTGTATCATAAATATCTGTCTGTGAAGAAGTCGTACACATGTGAACAGTTAATCAAGTGAAAGAAATATTTAATGGAATGTGTTTTCATCAAAGAATTGCGTCATTGAATTTATTATCGTTTTGTTGTTGTTTGTGATTTTGATGGTACGTAAAAGTGATTCAGTAAAATGATTATATAAGAATAGTTGTCCCTAGTGAGGCATTTTCGAACAATATGACTAAAAAATAAATACAATTAAAATGTATACACTTGTCAACAATATAAAATAAATTTAGTCTTTAGTAATAAACAATGACTTGTTAATGTCTAAAATTGTTGTTGTTGTGTTTTTTTTGGAAACATAATCATCTCCATTAAAATCCGTTCATTAAACCAAAATAACCTCTGATAATGCACAATTGCAAGTTTTCGGTCCTTTCCGTCAGTCTTCGGAAGGGGTTTGCTAAAGCTGAGATGTTCCGATTGCGATAATGTAAAGCACTGTCACACATAGGGATTCTTTCGAATAGAGCAACAAGGGTTGTACTATTCGTAGTAGTTGTCGTATATGGGCTCCACGAGGATCTCTTTTCGATATTTTTAACCGAATAGTGCACCAAAATTTGATGAGGATCTCACCGAATAGTGCTCCAAACTTTGATGAGATTTTTCACCGAATAGTGCACCAAAATTTGAAGAGGATCTCTATTCGACACTTCACCGAATAGTCCAAAATTTAATGACACTTTTCACCGAATAGTGCTTCAAAATTTGATGAGGATCTCTCCGAATACTGCTAAAAAATGTGAAGAGGATCTCTATTCGACACTTTTCACCGAATACTGCTCAACAATTTAATGACACTTTTCACCGAATAGTGCACCAAAATTTGAAGAGGATCTCTATTCGACATTTCACCGAATAGTGCTCCAAAATTTAATGACACTTTTCACCGAATAGTGCTTCAAAATTTGATGAGGATCTCTCCGAATACTGCTAAAAAATGTGAAGAGGATCTCTATTCGACACTTTTCACCGAATACTGCTCAACAATTTAATGACACTTTTCACCGAATAGTGTTTCAAAATTTGATGAGGATCTCTCACCGATTACAGCTCCAAAATTTGAATAGATGTTGCTTTTTGTCGAATAGAGATTCTCAATTATCTGATACAAGGTATAATGCAGTATTCATTGTATAAACAAATATGAAGACAAACTATAAAGTTTCGATACAATATTGATCAGAATTTCTGTTCGTCTTGTAATCAATTATAGTCCACCTGTCCGTCCGTACAGCTTTTTGTCCGCCCATCCGTTTACCGCATGTCTCTCTGACAACATGTATTATATCCGTCCGTCAGTCCCTTTCAGTCTTGGGTTGTTAATTCTTAGATATTCTTAGGTTCATGTGTCTATTTGGGTTTTTATATATTCTATTTTTATAGAATTAAATCAGGACTACAAAAGGACAGACAAATAAACCTCAATAAACATATGTTCTCACAAGGCTGAGAAGATCTCAGAATTTACAACCAAAAGTGTCATATCTTTTGAAAAGGCAGTCAGAGGGAGACAGACGGACAGAAGACATATATACAACAATGCAGACAAACATTAAAACAGACCATAAACGAATGGACGGAGAGAAAAACGGTAAATGGACAGACAGACGGACAATATTTAATTTCAAGACGAAAAGAAAACCTGATAACTATTGCATCGAAACTTTGTATCTTGTCGCCAAGTATTCTTGTAGTAATTGATACTAAAAGCAAGGATTGGCACAAAAAATTACAAAGTCTCCGGGACCCCGATACCCTCCTGAACAATGAAGTTCTTTTAAAAACGCTGCAGAACCGATCCTTTATCTTTTAAATCATTTTTTCATCCCCTTTATTAGGAAAAATTAAACTTTTTTACATAGGCTTTACTTTAGTGCTTTTAAGGGACTTTTTTAAAAATGGTTTTATTATACACCCTTTTCCGGGTATTGTGAAAAAATTTTTCCATAAGTTTAATGGTTGGGGTTTAAAAATTTTAAAGTTTTTGCAGGGGAAAAACATTTTTCCCCTTTTTCTAAAAAAAAATTTCTAAGGGAAATTTTTAAAACAAAAGGAAAAACCAAATGAAAAAAAATAGAGAAAAATTGAAAAAAATTAAAAAAAAAAATAAAGGGGTTTCCGAAAAAAAATGAAATTTGGGTTTTAATTTCCGTAGTTCATTAAAAAAACCTTTTCTAATTTCTTTGATCAATAGGTTTTATTTTTTCCGGGGGGGTTAGGACCTTTTTTTAACTTTATGTTAAAAATCTTATTTTTTTTTGTTGTTCAAAAAAAAAAATTGTGTTTTTTCCCTCATTTCCAAACTTTAAATTTTCCCCTAACGGGTTTCAAAAACCTTACGTTTTTGATGATACAACGTTAACTGGTAATCAGCTTTTTTTTCTTGAAAATGGGCCCTTAATTACCCTAAAAAAAAACAACCCATATTTAAGGGCCCGGGAGGAACACAAAAAAGCGGGAATTTGTATTTATGAAAAAGGGTAATTTGCGGGCCCAAAAATAAGCAAAATACAGTGAAAAAAAAAAGGGCCCAAAGGGAGACAAAACAAAAATAAAAATTAAAAAACCCCGCTGAGTTTTAAGGGAATGTAAAAAACTTTTTTAACTTGAAAAAATTTTTTACTTTGTTTAAAAAATTTTCTAAAATTTACATGTTTCATTTTTTGTTAAAAAAAATGGGGGAAAAGCAAACGAAAAAAAAGATTAAATTTAAATTTTCCCACCTCCTCGCGAAAAAAGTTTAAAAAAAAAATTTACTTTTTATAAGGTAAGGAAAAAAAAAATATCATCTGATATATATATGTCAAAAACCGTCCCGTGTCAAAAATTTTGATTTTCCTCTTGGCTATATTGTCAAAACGTGAGTCGAAAAAAATTTTGGTCCCTTCCGCCCCGGTGCCCATTATTTTACTAAAAATTTAAAACGTACCTTACGAAATTTTTAAATAAAATTTAAATATTTTAACGTGGGGGTTCCCTTAGGAAATTTTTGCAGGAAACGAAACCAGTGTCAGTCTTTTTACTTATTAAAATTTTTTAGATTATTTTCATTTAAATAAAAAAAACCATTCGACGTTTTTAACGTGGGTTTGGGCATTAGAAAATGTAAAGATTTTTTATGACATAGACATACAAATAGTTTTGTTTCAATCATATAAGGCTTATAAGCCCAAGCCAAACACCAAGAATGTTCAGTAAATCCTGCAAAAACCAAGACTAGTCGAGGGAGCAATCATTATCATTGATTTAATAGTGCAAGCGGACCTGAGACCTAAGACAATGCTTTCATCAGTACATTAGCAGCCTTTCATTACATGTTTCATAGGTTTCAAGGTTGAGTCAGATAATGAATAAACTGTTGTCGGCATACATGTTTTACACAGCTTCAAATTCATATTTATTGCCCAAGACAG